CCTGAGGTTAAGCGACCGGGTCCAGGACCTGAACCACGGTCAACGACATGGGAGTCCAGTGACATAGCCACTACCCCAAATGCTGGTCCCATGTATGATAATATCTTTGACTGGGCTAATGTACAGTGTATCTATGCTGGGATAATTTATTTTGTATGCTGTAATGATATACAGTGATTTGAATCTATATAAAAAATAAAAAGTTATCTGTTGATGACAATGTACACCGTAATATCTATGACTTGACTAATATGTGGTGAATTCATGCTGGGAGAAACCATTTTGTATGCTGTAAAGATGTAAAGTGATTAAATATAAATTATTTAAAAAGAAAAGAAAAGGTCATTGCCAACCCAGTGATATACCTCCAAAAGAAAAAAAAACAAACCAATAACTATTAATAGTAGAATGTTTAACAAAATGGAAAGCAGCTGTAGATACCAGAGACAGTGTGGAAGGAAGGTGAGAAATGGCAGAGGGTGAGAAGGAGGGAATCAATGGGGAAAAAAAGAAGTAAAATATTTAAGAAACAAGAAATAGAAAATTACTTGTTGATGATAACATGTATGGTAATATTTTTGATTGAGCCAATATACAGTGTATTCTTGATAGGAAAACTCATTTTGTATGCCACAGTGATATACAGTGAATGAATGTAAAATAAATAAATGTAAAATAAAAAATAAATAAAAAATAGAACGATTATCAAAGGTGCATAAAATAATATAATGTTCTTTATTGATAATGAGGAATATAATATATATGTATATATATTATATATATCTTTGATTTGATTATAACATTGTATGCATGCTTTGAAAAACGATACTATACCTCACAAATATGTATAATAATTAAATGTAAAACAGAAGTTATTAAAAAGTAATAAAATCAAAATAAGTATCCTAGAGAAATTAGGATACACCCAATACTTTTAAAGCAAAAGAATCACTGGTATTAATGATACTGACATTGAGTGAGAAAATTAGATCTTTTGTGATAAATTCAGAATCTATACCTGTACTGGAGGGTTTTCACCATAACCTAAGTGTTTTGGTTCTAACCTACTTCTTTGCATTTGATTTTGTGTAGTTCTATCAAAGTCATGTGCCCAGCAGGTCTAATGCTAATGGCAACCAACTAAAGGAAATTCTTAGTCATTTTCATGCAAGCCATGAGCATTAATTTAATCAATGGTTTAATTCACCATGGGCTGAAATAAGGTCACTCAGTCTCTTCAACGAAACTCGGTCAGAGTTGAACCATAGCATAGCCCTTTGACAAGAAAAAATTATGATGGTGGGCCAAATACCCTAAGTAAACCAGTTTTATAATTTTCTGTAGCAAGTAATATAATTTATGAAAATATTTCAGAGACACCTATCACCTTAGAATTAACTCAAAGAGAGTTCATCATAGGAGAATTCGCTACAATGTCCAAAAATAAGCAAAGATTTATTTTGTGGGTTAGTTCTTCCCTAGTGCTTTACCTGAACCTTACTATTTTGTATATAATCCAAACATGAACACTGAATACTAACTATATAGCTCTCATCAATGGGTAGTGGGTTAAGAAGGGGTAAGAGCAAAGCAAATTAGGAATCCACAGTTAGGCAGCCTCTGTGGCTGGTAGATCTGTTATTCCCTGTAACAATGGCAGCACCAAGAAACCCTTGCCTTCTAACCAATACTGCTTTGAAAACATCCACATGCTATGACCCACCATAGTAAGCCAAAATGGAGATATGACCTCTATATTTAAGAAACTTCATAGAAAAGAAAACTGTGTCCCATGCTCCTTTCCCTCTCTCTATCTCTCTGGTGAACACATTTAGCATCCAGTAAATATATATATGTATATATGTACATATATATATATATATACATATAGATATTTAATCATGGAAGAGAGACACAGAGAAAGTCAGAAAGAGAGACAGAGAACACGGTCTTCATGCCACGATCCACTCCCACCTTGGCCAACTAGGATCATGATCACAGAAGTATGTGCTTAGCCTGTTCAGGAAGACCTCAGGACTCAAACCTAGAACCTTCCATAGTGGTTTCAGCATCACAGAGTCACTGGCACCACCATGGCTAGCCAAAAGTATCGCTTTTTCTTGCAATAGGGCACATGCACTCTCTGGAGAAAGACAGAGAAAAAGAAAGACGGGATATGTGAGAAATCACCCCCCAGGAGGGATGGCCATGCTACAACCCCTTCTCCTCCATTCTTCTCTCAGGATTTTGCATGCGCTCACGGCATGTTCTCCAAGCCACCAGGTCCAGAGGGACTTGAACCACAGAGCTGGTCGTCTGGGATCCAGCCACCTTAACCACTACACTACTTAACTGGCCCCCAAAGTAGCCTTTTAAGGCAGAAGGAGAGAATTAGGAACTTTGAGTACTGACCTCAGTGTACTTCATGTAAAACTTATTTTAATCTTGTTTGTTTTCTTTTACAGAAATTTAAATATGATCGTTTTGTGGAACATGGTGAGAAGAAAACTGTCTTTTACAAAAGAGGGAAAAAGCTGAAGTATTACCTAATGCCATTTGGATGTGGAGCCAGCAAATGTCCAGGCCGATTCTTTTCATTAATTGAAATGAAGGGATTGTTGGTTGCACTGTTAACTTATTTTGATTTCGAAATCATTGACGATAAACCTGTAGGACTAAATTACAACCGCTCGCTGTTAGGTATTCTGCATCCAGATTCAGATGTCTCATTTAGGTACAAGGTTAAATCTTAGGAAAATCAAAAAGAAAGAAAAGAAATCGAAACTAACCTAAGTGTTCTAAGTTTAGGTATGGTTTTTAATTTCTGCAAATATAATTGCTTTGTTTGTTTAAAAAATGCCAGTTTCTGTTTGCTCTGAGATCAGCCTTTTTTGTCCTTGGTCACAAATCCTATCATAAAATAAAACAGATAGTAGCATCAACTAAAATAAAACAGATAATAAAATCAACTTAATAATATCTCAAAATGGCATTTTTCTTCTTAATTGTGATTTTCATTGTTATAACAATAAATTTGGCAATGTGGGATTTTTTTAAATTCTTTTAAAAACTTCTTCTCTAGGGACCAGCAGTTAGCATAATGGCTATGTCGCTGGACTCCCATGTAGTCGACCGCGGTTCGCGTCCTGGACCCGGTGGCTTAAACTCACACTGGGCACATGTGCGTGTGTGCCCAAGATCTCAAGAGGAGAATGGAGGAGAAGGGATTGTGGCGTGGCCATCCCCCCTGGGGGGTGATTTCTCGCTTTCTGTCTCTCTGTCTCTGTCTTTCTGGCAAGCACACATACCCTATAGCAAAAAAAAAAAAAAAAAAAAATTATCAAAAAAAAAAAAACCTTCTTCTCTAATATGTACTATTGGAAAATTATGCTGGATATGGACACAGTCTACCAAATTCAAAATTCTAGAGAAGATGGAAATTAAATTTCCATGCGCTACACTAGATGAAAATGTTCCCTTCAAGTATAATATCATTAATAGCTGTATTTCCAGGATACATTCGAATTAAATTTGTTTTGCAATAGATTAAATGCTTCAGCTTCATTTCAATATTTAATCATCCATAAATGCTCTTTACTACTTTGTATATATACTATGGCTCAATAGAATAAAATTTCTTGTTATATAATGTCTCTCATGTTTATGTTAGACATCAGTTAGATTTAATATATGAGAAACACAAAAGCTATTATAAATTTATCAGTTTCCCTATACATTAGTATTAGGTTTATCATACAAGCAAATGTCGAAATTATTACAGCATTGATTGTAACATTTGGTTTTAGTGTCAACTATAAGGTTATGTCAATATTGCAATTAACCCTTTTCTATAATAAATGCTTCCATTTATATAAACTGATAACTAGATACCAATATTTGTTTTGGACATGTCATCTTTTGGACTTACAGTTTATTTGTATTATTTTGAATTACAACATTATGTAGCACAGTATAATTTTATATAAAATAATGCAGCATTGTATCAACGATTCCAAGATTTCTCGTATTGGTGACACTGTGGATAAAGTGCTCGACTCCCGCATGGCCGACCACAGTTCTAGTCTCAGACTTGGTAGCTTGCTTTCACACTTCCTTTCTCTCTGTCTAACTCTCTCTGGCAAGCACACATGCCCTATAGCAATTTTTTAAATGTTACTGTAATAAAATTTTTTAAAAAGATTGCTTAAAAAAAGAAAGATTTCGGGAACCAGCAGTTAGCGTAATGGCTATGTCACTGGACTCCCACGTAGTCGACCGCGGTTCGCATCCCGGATCCAATGGCTTAAAACTCACGCCGGGCACGTGTGCGTGCATGCCCAAGATCCCGAGAGGAGAATGAAGGAGAAGGGATTGCGGTGTGACCATCCCCCCCCGGGGGGTGATTTCTCACTTTCTGTCTCTATGTCTCTGTCTGTCTGGCGAGCGCACGCGCCCTATAGTGAAAACCTCTCCAAAAAAAAAAAAAAAAGAAAGATTTCTAGTATCAGATAACCAAGTAATTGGCATCTGACATACATGATGATGCAAGACTGATGATAAGCCCATTTCATTTGTGCTGCATTAATTACAGCCTCTAATATTTCATAGACTTTTTCTATTGCTTTTAAAAAGCATATTGATTTTTAAAATGTCATCATAAAGTACTTATTATACCCAATAAATAAATAAGATACTTTAGTATTTGTTTTCTCCTTTCTAAAGTATATGCTTAGAATGACTCTTTAGTAAGGCCTGCTGGTGTAAATTCTGCTTTTGTTGAGTGTCTTTATTTTCCCCCCATTCTTGAAAGATGGTTTTGCTGGGTGCACAAGTCTAGGTCAATAGTTTTTTTCCTCATAGCTGTTTGGAAATATTGCATGTTCTTGACTTTTCCATCCTTGTTATTGAGAGGTTAGCCATTAGTCAATTTAATTGTACTCAGTAGATGGTTTGTCTCTTCTCTGACTGCTTTAACATTTTCTCTCTGTCTTTGAATATGCTTTGTTTCTTTCCATTCATCATGCTTGCATATCTTGCTAATTTTCAAGTCTGAGAATGGGTGTCTTTCATCAAGTATAGAATATTCTTGGCCAGTCTTTCTTAGAATATTACACATATATTAGATCGTCTCACCTATTCCTCGTATTTTTAACCATCCCTCACCCCTATTTGCAATCTCTAACTTCTATTTCAGGTAATTTGTTTAGTGGTATTGTCCCATTTTTTCTCTGTACAGTGTATCTGATCTGTCACTTAACTTATTCATTGAGCTTGTTTTTTTCTTCTTTTTATTTTAACCTTAGGTTCACAGGATTGATTAATCATACCCTTCATACTCTTTAGTTAATGGTACATAATTATAATTGGTCCAGCCAAGATCCCGTTGGCACGATTTACCTATTTTTTAAATTTAATTTTATTTATTCATTCATTCATTTATTTTAATTTTATTTTTATTTGACCAGAGTGAGACACAAAGAAAGAGAGAGAGAAAAAGTGAGAAAGCAAGCCATCAGGTCCGGGACTCGAACCGTGGTTGGCTGTGTGGGCATGTCCAGTGCCTGAACCACCACACCACCTGCTGGCCCCCACCTATTCTTACTTATCGCCATCACTGTATCTCTCCCCGTCATACACAAATAGTCTACTGTGTTGGATGTATATCTTTTTATTTGTATGTCTTTATAAAATATATGCTATTATACTAGGTGTGTACTTTTTATTTACATATTTTTTATAAATCATATCCTTTCAGTTTTCTTATTAAGCTCTGTGATTTTCAAGATGTATCTGTATTGCTTTTTGTGTGTTTAACCCATTGCTTCTGACTAGTGCACAGTATTACCTAATGTGCCCCCACTAGATTTTAATGATCTACTTACACAGTGATGAACACTGTATTCTTGGGTCATTTGATGTGAGGAGAGGCCAAAGCAGAACTTAAAACTCTACCTCCTACTCACCTTCAGCCTGTGTTACTACAAACCCTGTCCCTAACCACCCCCACTGTATAATCCGTGACAGCCTTAATTCTCCCTAAAACCATCTCAATTTGTTAAGCTCCCTCTGCAAGGCCACCAGACTCTCTGCTTTTTTTGGGGTCCCCATGGATGATCTCTAGTCAGGTCCCAGTCTCCAACCTGTCAACCTTCCGGTCCTTCATTCCACTGAGTTTGCTTATCAATGATTGGATTTTTCAGTTGAGAATTCTCTTTTGTTTTTCCTAGCTGTGTGGTCATTTTTGATAATATCTTGTTTTTATCAGGCATTCACTATCATTTTTCATTTCTCTCGCTAGGTTAAGCAAACATTTTATATTCTATGTCTGATATTTTAAAAATCAATGGGTTTCATGAGCCTGATTCTACAGTTCGCTCATCATTCCTTTAACTCTTACCTGAGATGGCTTGTTTACTGAATCTATGTTCTTTGGAATTTTATCTCTGGAATTTTTGTCAAATCTGGGTTTAAAGTTTATTTCTCTAGAGAGAATTTATGTTTGTTTTTGTCTGGCTGCTGCTACTACTGTCAAACTCAGGCAACTTTACATTTTTAGCTTGAGTATTTAGGAGAAGGGAGGAGTGTGCTGCACAAGTATTGTATATTTCGTTATAGCTCTGAATTAAGCAGCATGCAACTCTGAATTAGGCAGTATGATTACAAATAGACAGGAGAGACTTTCTGGGTGTTTGTTTCTCTCAGAGTCAAGGTGGAGACAGGACGTCTTACTCTGTGGAGCAACATTTTTTTCTAGTTTACCTACAGATTATGTTGACAATGCAAGTTTTTTTACTTTACACAGGGATCTTGGATTTCGCTCACACACACATATACACATGAGCACATGCCTATCTTGAGCTCCAGGCTTTATCTCTCTGTCTGCCATAATGCACTATTACATTGATTGTGTAGTAGAACATCTACTCCACCATACTGTTTTGATTTATTTATTTTTTGATTTGCTAACCATCAGGTCTGGGGATTGAACTGGCAGCCAGCCATGTGAGATCCAGCAACCTTTGCCACCACATCACCAGCTGGCCCCCAAAACCCCCCTTTTTTTTTTTTTTTTTTTTTTTTTTTTTTTTTTTTTTTAAGATTTTTGCCATAGGGCACATGCAGTTGCCAAAGACAGCTAGAGAGAGAGGGAAAGTGAGAAATCACCCCTCTCCCAGGAGAAATGGCCACACCGCAATCCCTACTCTAGGGATTTTGGGCGTGCACACGTACATCCCTGGCATGTTTTTCAAGGCACTGGATGTGGGATTTGAACTGAAGAGTTGGCTAGTGAGATTTAGTACCTCAACCACTGTGCCACCTGCTGGCCCCAAACATCCCTATTCTTAACTTCAATGAGTAACACACTTTCGTGATGTTGCAGATGTTCTCTTCAGAGAGAACAGAGGAAATTATTTCATTCTAATTTCTTTTTATACATAATTAGAGATATATACAGAAATTTACAAGAGAAGAGAAGAATAAGTAAAATGAGTTAAAAAAATTATATAAAGGGAATGGACAGTAGAACCAAACCAAAACAAAAGAATCTTGTGATAGGCTTAAAACCACGGCTAAAGGAGTGTTTATGAATAGAAAAAAGTCATGAAGAAATAAGTTAAAAGACACCATTCTAGCTGTGACATAACTGGTTTGTTATCATCAGCAAGCCACTTTTCCTCTCAGTGTCCTGATTCAAAAAATAAAAATTATATTGCCTTTTGACATCACACTTCATTCTCAGGATAAAAACTGTAGCTCCTGTGAGCTTATTTTGAAAAGTATAAAGCAACATATAATGCAAAGTATAACAGAGATACTTAAACAATGTTATGTTTTTTAAAACTTGACCTTGAAAATTTTCTTAAAGAATTATTTTACTTAACTTTACTATTATTATTTTCCAGTTTGCCCAGAGAGAGACAGGGAAAGTGAGAAAGCAAGCCACCAGGTCCGGGACTTGAACTGTAGCCAGCCATGTGGGAGTCCA